TGGAAAAAAAAAATCGAAAAAGGGCCGTATCTCGGAAACATTGCTGTGGAGACAGTGACAACCCCCTCATCTACACTATCTTGGAGCATTTCTAAACCTAATATGCGCCCCAGCCCTTCACTATTGCAGTAGAATGTCGCAACAGCACAGGGGTTAACCGCCAAACAAATTCGTGCGCGTCGTATTGCTTCCCAGGGGATTTCCCCTGCGAGGGGTGTGGCCGCAGATACTTGACGGCTGCTGGCCTTTCGCAACATCGCAGACAGTACTGCCGGGGCCCAACTCCTAGCGCATGACGCAATGACGGAAGCAGAAATTTCAGAAAACGAAATTAAGCTCAACTTTGCGCCGGGCCCTGATGGAGTTACGCCTCGCCAATGGAAGGCTATGCCTGCCAGAATGCGTGCTCTCTTCTATAACTTGGTGATGTTGACCTACGAAATACCTGAGCGGCTTCTCAAGGCTCGAACTTCGCTACTACCAAAGAAAGCTTTCTCAGAACATCCAGGAGAATATAAACCGATTACCGTAGCTCCAGTACGCTTGCGGCAGTTTAACCGTGTGTTGGCTATCCGCCTGGGGAATTCGAACGTTATAGATCAGGGCCAACGTGTTTTTATGACCGCTGATGGGTTCTGTGAAAACACGGCAAATCTAGATGTGGTCCATTCATGGAGTATGTGATGACGGCGTACAGCAAGGCTTCCACGGTAATATCAGTGGCCGGTCAAGTTTCTGAGAAGTGGCGGTTCGGTGGAAGTCCGTCAAGGCGATCCATTGTCACCGCTACTGTTTAAGGACAGATCCGTCATGATGCAGTTTGCCCTGCCTTGGCGGGTGGACTACGGAATAACGGCTGCCACGACATCATCGCTAGCAAGGCTAGCCTCGCTGTCATAGTAGACGGCCAGGTGGTCTCACCGCCGCAGGAGCATCAAGCAACGGTTGCGAAATACGCTGGCAACAGTGCACTCATCACAGGTGTGTCCCAAAAACCTACACGTCTCGGAAGAGAAAACCTCCACCACCGCAGCGACCATTTGATGGAACGGGGTGTGGTGTCGAAAGTCCATAAACACACTTAATGTTCCGTGGAAACTTCCATCAGGGAGATATGGTTTGCAACGCGAAGAGCACCGCAGTTGCAGCGGTGACCGCATCTTCCCCTGGGACCTTGAAAATCCGTAGAAGTCATCTGCAGTTTCAATGTATATTTCAGTCTGCCAAGTTATGGAAATGCAGGTTTTGACTATAATCTACTCGAAATCAAGAGCGAAAAAAACCCAAATTTGTCCCAAAAAGAGGGGATTTAAGATCATATCTGCTCTTCTAATGTAGATTTGGGTGCATTAAGAGGCGAAGAAGCAGATTCTGACAGGGATTTTATCGAAATCGGCAACTATTTGATTTAGAAAGGGGCTTTACACCCATGATAGTCTAAGCTGATATTTGCAGTTTTGATGCGGTTTTAGATACGATATGAATCGAAGAAGCCGATTTTGACTGGAATCTGTTTAAAATGACAAAGAAAAACCTATTATCAATTCACGGAAGTGAATATATCCTGGTAGGTTTCCGACGTTCCTTCTATCCATTCAAGTTTTAAATTTTAAATCGAGATCGGCTCCTAAGACTATACGATGCCGGCGGGGGTACCAAAATCAAGAAAATGAGTAAACCGATACCGGATTCCCGTAAAATGGAGTGGTAAAGCGTCCCCTATGGGGCAAAAAATTGCTCTGTTTTCCCAAAAAAAGAACCGTTTTCGAGTTATGGCCATTTTAAAATCGAAAAAAAATTTTCGAAAAAGGGCCGTATCTCGGAAACGGAGCGTCGGAGGCGAAAAATAAGCGAATTTTCGTACCGAGTTTCTTAAAAAGCGCGTAGAGTGGTGCGGTTTCGTAAATACTATATCCTGGTAGGTTTCCGACGGTCCTCCTATCCATTCAAGTTTGAAATTTTAAATCGAGGTAGGCCCGCAATACTCTATACGATGCCGGCGGGGGTATCAAAATCAAGAAAATGGGAAAACAGATACCGGATTCCCGTAAAATGGGGTGGTAAACCGACCTCTTTGGGGCAAAAAATTGCTCCGTTTTCCCAAAAAACGAATCGTTTTCGAGTTATGGCCATTTTAAAATCGAAAAAAAAAAATTCGAAAAAGGGCCGTATCTCGGTAAGGGTGCGCCGGAGGCGAAAAATAAGCGAATTTTCGTACCGAGTTTACTATAACGTGCGTAGGAGTGGTGCGGTTTCGTAAACACTATCGCCTGGTAGGTTTCCGACGGTCCTCCTATCCATTCAAGTTTGAAATTTTAAATCGAGGTAGGCTCCTAAGACTCTATTCGATGCCGGCGGGGGCACCAAAATCAAGAAAATGGGAAAACAGATACCGGATTCCCGTAAAATGGGGTGGTAAACCGTCCCTTTTGGGGCAAAAAATTGCTCGGTTTTCCCAAAAAACGAACCGTTTTCGAGCTATAGCCATTTTAAAATGGAAAAAAAAATCGAAAAAGGGCCGTATCTCGGAAACATTGCTGTGGAGACAGTGACAACCCCCTCATCTACACTATCTTGGAGCATTTCTAAACCTAATATGCGCCCCAGCCCTTCACTATTGCAGTAGAATGTCGCAACAGCACAGGGGTTAACCGCCAAACAAATTCGTGCGCGTCGTATTGCTTCCCAGGGGATTTCCCCTGCGAGGGGTGTGGCCGCAGATACTTGACGGCTGCTGGCCTTTCGCAACATCGCAGACAGTACTGCCGGGGCCCAGTGGAAGAGGGCCCTAGTGCATGCGCGGAATGTGGCCGGGCCTTCCGGACCTTTGCCGGCATATGCAGCCGCACCCATCCTGAGGCGTAATGAGGAGTGTAGAGCTGGCGGATCGACGTAAGGCCGATCGTATCTCGGAGCTGGAAAGGTTCGCCATCTGCTTGGCTGAGCTCGAGTACGATGGAACCGCGGTGAACAAACACCTAGCATATAGGTTCCACCGTACGGTTGACGCCATCAAAAACCTCCGTAAGCTCAAGAGTTACGGCGTATTACGAGCTCAGTTAGAAGCCGTGCAGAAGGAGGCGCCGGACCACCCGACACATTCTCCCGTCCGGTTCGACCGGCCTCCGCAGGCCCGCCCCGTCGCTGTCCCCGCCGGCCGAGGATGGCGACTCCGTGTTTCGGGCCGGGCCGCCAACATCATCTGGTCATAATCATCGCCTTTCTGAGTCATATAGTTGCCGATTTCGATAAAATCTTAGTCAGAATCTGCTTTTTCGCCTCTTATTGTACCCAAATCTACCTTAGAAATGCAGATATATACTTAAAACACCTTCTTTTGCGACAAATAATTGGTTTTCGCCCTTGATTTACGGAAGATTATAGCCAAAACATGCATTTTCATAACTTAGCGAACTGAAATCTACATTAAAACTGCAGATAACTACTTAAAAATTCACTTCCTTGAATTGATAATAGGTTTTTCTTTGTCATTTTAAACAGATTCCAGTCAAAATCGGCTTCTTCGATTCATATCGTATCTAAAACCGCATCAAAACTGCAAATATCAGCTTAGACTATCATGGGTGTAAAGCCCCTTTCTAAATCAAATAGTTGCCGATTTCGATAAAATCCCTGTCAGAATCTGCTTCTTCGCCTCTTAATGCACCCAAATCTACATTAGAAGAGCAGATATGATCTTAAATCCCCTCTTTTTGGGACAAATTTGGGTTTTTTTCACTCTTGATTTCGAGTAGATTATAGTCAAAACCTGCATTTCCATAACTTGGCAGACTGAAATATACATTGAAACTGCAGATGACTTCTACGGATTTTCAAGGTCCCAGGGGAAGATGCGGTCACCGCTGCAACTGCGGTGCTCTTCGCGTTGCAAACCATATCTCCCTGATGGAAGTTTCCACGGAACATTAAGTGTGTTTATGGACTTTCGACACCACACCCCGTTCCATCAAATGGTCGCTGCGGTGGTGGAGGTTTTCTCTTCCGAGACGTGTAGGTTTTTGGGACACACCTGTGATGAGTGCACTGTTGCCAGCGTATTTCGCAACCGTTGCTTGATGCTCCTGCGGCGGTGAGACCACCTGGCCGTCTACTATGACAGCGAGGCTAGCCTTGCTAGCGATGATGTCGTGGCAGCCGTTATTCCGTAGTCCACCCGCCAAGGCAGGGCAAACTGCATCATGACGGATCTGTCCTTAAACAGTAGCGGTGACAATGGATCGCCTTGACGGACTTCCACCGAACCGCCACTTCTCAGAAACTTGACCGGCCACTGATATTACCGTGGAAGCCTTGCTGTACGCCGTCATCACATACTCCATGAATGGACCACATCTAGATTTGCCGTGTTTTCACAGAACCCATCAGCGGTCATAAAAACACGTTGGCCCTGATCTATAACGTTCGAATTCCCCAGGCGGATAGCCAACACACGGTTAAACTGCCGCAAGCGTACTGGAGCTACGGTAATCGGTTTATATTCTCCTGGATGTTCTGAGAAAGCTTTCTTTGGTAGTAGCGAAGTTCGAGCCTTGAGAAGCCGCTCAGGTATTTCGTAGGTCAACATCACCAAGTTATAGAAGAGAGCACGCATTCTGGCAGGCATAGCCTTCCATTGGCGAGGCGTAACTCCATCAGGGCCCGGCGCAAAGTTGAGCTTAATTTCGTTTTCTGAAATTTCTGCTTCCGTCATTGCGTCATGCGCTAGGAGTTGGGAAACAACTTTCTAGCCATTCCGTGAGCAAGTGCAGAATCGGTGGTCCTTCCAAGGCCCGTCGAGCTGTCGTGATAAGAAGATTGCAGGAGTAGGTGTCCGTATCAAACAGGCCATTTGCAAGCCTCTCTCACTTTTGTCCTCAGTAGTTCCTCGGCTCTGCCAGCGGCATCACGTAAATTCACCGCCGGACTATTGAAGGCGGACGGGGTGGATCCATAGAAGAACTCTACAGTCCGCTGCTGACTGCAGCCGTTGCTCTTGACCGTCAGAACTCAAGTTCAATAATGAGCATAATGGCGCCTGTAATTGCTTCCAACGAACGCCCTGACATTTTTTGGAGTAGGAAGAGGTTCAAGAAAGGTTCCCCCTTCTCAGCCATGATCTCGAGTTCCTCGCGCTGCCAGCGCACTTTAAGCTTCTCGTTTCTGTCCTCCTGGTGTGCCCCCCACCAGTGCAACCCTTGTCCAGACTTGGTGGTAAACGATCTACCGCATATCGGACAGAGAAATTCATCTGTGTTCGTCGGTCCGGCTACGCCGTTGGGATCGGCAACGGACATCGATCGCTCGGGCTACAACGCGGCCGTCTTCCACCGCATTGTTAGGCCTACTTAGTCACGGATAGGTCCACGGTGTCAGGCCTTAGTTGCGCTCGTTCCCTCGCAACAACACAATCGCCTCGAAGAACTTTGGACCACCCGGCCGCCGGAAGATCGGATTCAAAAACCCTTACTCGCCCGCTGAATACAACAAGCACATTTACAACATCAGATAGAACTATTTCTATTTAATCAGTGTCAAATTGTGTATGACCTACAAATGAAGTACCCCAAAATTTTTAATAGTAGCCTAGAATTCTCAGCAATTTCTTGTAAAACCTTCAAACTATGCAAAAATATCCTGCAGATTTATCGTTTAAATTCTTTCTGTTACAGCTGAACTGATTCTGGTAATTCCCCCCTTTGTGGGGGAATAATTTCTGTAATTTTTGACCATCCGAAAAACTATTTCGTTTTCAGCGTGATGACAAACGAGAACTTTTCCAGACTAAGTTTTACAAGGGTTTGTAATTTTCAAAAGTTATTTCGTGAGATTGTTAGAGTAAAACTTGCAGTTTAATTGTTTATTATATTTCTTGTAATTCTTGTACCTTAAAACATGTTGCCTAAGCATTTTTCCTATGTAGCTATTTAACTGACCTTTGCAGTTTGTTAAATCACTCATATTTGTCACATTTGTTGTAATTTCTTGAAGGAGCAAGTTTGTGAGTGGGAGTCCTATAGACACCACTTTTAAATTTTTAAAATGAACTTGTGCATAACACAACAAGTTTTTCACAAAAATACGAAAAAGGTACGGATGACACAGACTGTTGGTATTCTCTCAATAGCGATTCCTAGCTCTCCGTTGAAATGAAAATTAGTAATTTTTTTCAGAAAAATTGCGGCAATGTGGCAACTCAGTTAGTTGGGGGTTCCGCATACCTTCTCTGCGAAAATGTCATAGCCAACTTCGGCGCATCACTTTTTACCGTAGTAGGGCCACTATATTATCTTATAGCTATATTGCAGCTACCAATAATTTGTTTAAATACTTAATTTATAAAACCAGTAATCTCCTGATATCAATAAACATAGTATCTTTCTTTTTTTACTATAAAATAATTAAGTAGAAAAAAATTATAAATTCTTTAATATTGTTAACTTGAACTGCCACTAATGTGCCCGAATATTAAAAAAAATGGAAATATGGTGTATACTTACAATTTTCCAACAAGCTGTAGGATATTCTAAGTGAACTCCCGACGACATATGGAAGTTAGTTTTACAAACAAAACAAAGCACACACCGGTTCATGTAGACGATATCAAAGATAGTAACAGTTGAATATAGAAATAGCACAAGGACGTGCGTAAAACATCCTCGGTATATCTGAGGGGACATCCTAAGGATATACTGTTCAGCTAAGGGACATCCTAAAGACGTCTCAAGGATATATGATGTTAATAATTGGAACATTCACAGTATATCAGATACGTATGTCCGTAGGATGTTTGTTAGAACATACTAAGGATATGCAGTTATACTAGTTGAGACGTCGTTAGTATATCCGAGTGTGAAGATATAAGATCTTATATAGATACACCGGTGGACCTTAATTATTTGGTTATATCCAACAGCCTATGAAAAATACTGGAAAGGTAATGTCCAGTAGTCCAATGGGTTGTACAACTACAAAAATTCTATCCCAGTATTTGGTACTGGGGCGTGATAGGAATTAACCTATTGGGAATGGTTGGCGAAGTCATCACTGGAATAGCGGGCGATACTTGAAATGCACAAATTTTGTCCAATTAATATTTAATATTTTATTTTGCTTTTGATGGTTAAAAGCGAAGGCCTGCCGGCTGATGCCATTAACAAAACGCATTTTAAACACATCTGATTTTTTTCTATTGTAGATATGAAAAAGTCGTAGTTATCTAATATAGCAAAAGTATAGAACAACCAAACCTAAAGTATCTTAAAAATAGAGTAACTAACCAAAACAAATTAATTATCGAAGATTTATCGATATAACCCATTTTCCCGCATACCCTGCATTTATAATGTTTTTTTAATTTTTACAAATACTTACGTTGTTCCGAGAAGGTTAAAATTTTTATCAAAGATGGAGGTCAATGAGTTCTATTCACAGATCCCATAAAACTCCCCCTACCCCAGTCCATTTAAATAATATTAATTATTTTTTAAAAATTTGCAGCCTTATGCATAAACCGCTCTCGACGGCAAACGGTGTAACTTGTGGGAATCTTTTTAGTATCGTTGGATAGAGGAAGGACCAAAGTACTTAACGTGTAAATTTCAATTTTTCAAGATAATAGGTAAATAAGATATAAAACGTTAAAAATTGATCATTAATTTCTAACTCGATTTTTCCATTTAAAATGAGATTTTAAGGTTATTTCTCAGCCCATACGAATCCGAGAAAGTCGAGATTTTTACGAAAGATACACACCAATGAGGTCTATTCGCAGGTACTATAACGTCCCCCCCCAACCCCCTATTTTGGGTTAATATTTGCATTTTATTATTTTCGTATTTATCGTGTTTTTTTTTTTCAAAAATTTTAACGATGCGGCCGACTATCACGTCATCGCCCATCTCCAAAACGATCATTCTCTGTCCGTTACAAAAACCCCTCTGCACGTTAAGATTTACCAAAAGGACTACCACCGAACCGATCTTCAAATTCAACCGATGTGGCGGTAGTCCCGACAAATCTAAACTTTCGATAATTTCACTGGTGACTCCCGTCGCGAGGGGATTGGCGATTTCGTGATCGTCGGCCCCATCCTCGTTACTCTGTCTATCGTAGGAATTGGTCGCCAAAAAGACCCTCTCCGATCCTGACGGATCGGGGAAGATCTTTGAGATGATTTCGTTCAACTCCTCGACCTCGCTGTTCACGGGACAAAGGATCGACCGGAGGGCCAATCGCTCGGCTAATTCCAAGAATCGCTCGTTCGTCCCGGGAAGAGCGAGCATCGATTCGAAGACGTCCCCGTAAACAAAGTCGACGAGTTGTTCGCGCGATTTGACAATTAATTTGAGAGGAACGAACAGACAGTTATCGGAAATCGGTTCGCGTCCGTTGTCCGAAACGATTCTTTCCCCGTCGCCTACTCTCCTGATGAAATTCGACCATTCCACCTCTTGCGGATGAACACGCATGTTTTCCGTTAACGTGCACAGTTGAAAAGTACTCCATGCCGGATGCGAAACGATGGACTCGAACACGGACGCCATTCCCGCTCGCCTACCCTTGACAACGGGAAGCAACTGCTTGGGATCGCCGCTAAGAATAACGGTTTTCCCACCGAACGGCCGTCGCGATTGACCGTATTCCCGACACACGGCATCGATCATTTCCAACATCCACGACGCCAACATAAACACCTCGTCTAACACGACGAGTCTCGCGTTTCGAATATCGTCGGCCGCCTCCGACTCGCCCACCAAATTAGAAACCGGCGTATCGTCTACGAATCTTTCTCTAGGAATACCGAAAGAAGAATGAATCGTAGCCGCGTTCCGGATTAACGTGGCCGCGATCCTCGTAAAAGCCGCGGATACGTACGGTAACGCGCGAAGTTCCGCCTCTTCCAAAATAACGTTGACGGTCGCGGTTTTGCCGGTGCCCCCTTCGCCGGTCAAAACGAAAACGATACCGTTACGATTGCATACAGACTGTAAAACCTCGTAAACGAATCCCAGCTGTTGATCGTTGAGATCGATCAGATGCAAATTTTGATTCGGTCTCGGAACGAAAGCGAATTCCTCGAACGTAACCTCTTCCTCGTCCAAAAGTTGTTCCGCCTCCTCGTCGTAAACCCAATCGGAAATCCAATCCCGAGGAAGATTAATTTTTTCCATCGAAGTGGAGCATTCGACCAGAAATCGATCTACGAAACTCCAAAGGACCGTATACCGACAGGTACGGAGCACGTGCATCCTTTCGTTTAAGTCGCCCGCGTCCTCTTCGTCGATATCTCTGATTAAATCGATATGAATCCTATGCACGTCCGCGGACATACGCCTGCACCATCTCTTAAATAAAGTTCGGGGATTCTTCGACGGATTGTACAAGAGAATTAGAGCGAACGCTTCCCTTAAATAAAACGGATGACGAAGACGATCCGCTATCCAATCTAAAATCTTGTCCGCCTCTTCGTCGTCGTCCGGGATCAATTTTAACGCTACGCAAGCGGCCTGATACGAAGGACATAAAACGCCGTTTACGGTTTTCGCGTCCACGAACGAAATCAAACCTGTCACGTTGCCCAAAATCATTCGTAGATAGTAGCGCTCCATATTCCCCGGACTCGGATAAACCGGACTCATACGACCTATAGAACTGGTGGGTCGCGACTTGGCGACCCAACGACCTTGCCGCCAAGAGTGCGTTTCGACGATGTCGACGTAGATTATTTTGGTGAAAAACTCTTTAAATTTATACTTTTTTATGATGGAGCCGTCTAGTTCAGGTGAGTACTATAATTTGCAGTGTTAAGGTGGCTGATACTTTTCGATTTCCCAAGAAACGGTTAGAGGTTTAGTTTGGTTCCAAGTTCGTCCAAACTTTCATTTTGGTGTGGCTATAATCTATACTATCTAGACAATTAAGGCAAACTTTAAAATGTTGCAACCTTTTTGCACTTTTGTTTAAAATAACCATTTAAATAGGCAAAGTCAGTGCTTCTGAAAAGTACATATTTTCGTACGGATAAAAACCTCAATTTTTATTGCTTTTATTACTTGCAGGTGCGAGCTCAGCTGTTATTTTCATTGTTCGGAGGGAACTTTGCAATATTTTAAAAAGTTCTGAAAAGAGAAACGTAGAAGAAAAGTTTAATTTTTTGAGGGAGCATGTTAGAGAAAGGATAAAATGTCCTGAGGAGAATCTTAAAGAACTTGATCAAAGATTGTCGTATTTTAAGTCACAATTTAAGAGCAGATGGATGAAAGCAGGCAGGGTGGAGGATAAATTTGCAAAAAATAATCAACATTGGTTGGATACTTCTATTTCTTTTCTAAATTATGCAATAAAAACACCAAAACAAATGGGTGGCCCAAAAATCAACTTTGAAGAGAGCGTAAAAAGACCGAAATTTTGCGAAAATCTACCCCACTCGAGGAATTGAAGTATGCAACCCAGATGACTTTAAGGGCAGCGGGACAAACACATGCCTCAAAATTAATGCAGGACATGTCAATTTCTCCAAAACGGGCAAGTAAATATAGAAAGGCGTTCATGAAGATGGAAGAAAGTAAATGTCGTCTAATATCAGGTGAAGATGCTCTAGCTTTATTGGTGGACGCCAAGTTGTCAAGACATCAGTTTTGCTTATTTAGAAGACCAAGAAAAATTTCCTTCTAATAAAGTTGTGCAAGCAGAAAAGAAAAAATGCTATCCAAATCAGGAGCACATAAAAGTAACTGAGGTATTAGCAGAAGTTCAGTTACAAGCTTTGCTCAACCACACTGCAGAACGCCTATTGATGACTATACAAGGTAATATCAATTTACTCAATGACGAACAACGAAAAAAGCTTTGTTTAATTAAGAAGTGGGGTTGCGATGGAAGCTCAGGTCATAGTTCTTATAAGCAGGCGTTTCATGGATCTGAATCGAGTGATTCAGCTGTTTTTATAACATCACTTGTTCCTCTTCATCTTATTTGCGATCTAGATAGTAAGAACCCATTAGTGATCTGGCAGAATCATTGTCCATCATCCACACGATACTGTAGACCTGTGAAAATTGAATTCATTAAGGAATCAACGCAAGTGTCTTTAGCTGAAAAAAGTAGAGTGGATAAAGAAATAGATACACTAAGCAGCACTGATTTATCTCTCTGGGGCAAATCAATTTCAGTCGCTCATAGGCTTACTTTAGCAATAATCGATGGCAAAGTATGTAACGCCCTAACAGAGACCTCATCTACACAACAATGCTATATTTGCGGAGCAAGATCGCAAGAATTCAATTCAATTGACAAAATGGTAAACAGAAATAAAAACAGAAAACCTGCAATTCGGGATATCAGTTTTACACGGTTGGATCCGTTTTTTTGAATGTCTTTTACATTTATCATATAAACTTCCAATTGAAAAGTGGCACGCCCGCGGAAATGATAAAGAGATAGTTGCAGAAACGAAAACAAGGATTCAAAAGCTGTTTAGAGAAAAAACCGGTTTAATCATTGATAGACCTAAACCCGGTTTTGGCAACTCGACTGACGGGAATACCGCTAGGCGCTTTTTCAAGAACCCTGAGCTCTCTGCCGAAATTACAAATATTGATATCAACCTGATCAGGCGCATGCATACAATATTAACAGTAGTTTCTAGTGGACAACAAATAAATGTCGACAAGTTCCGAGAATTCGCACATGATACTGCAAGACTTTTTGCGCAGAAGTACCCCTGGTACCACATGCACCCCACATTCCACAAATTCCTCATTCATGGGCCCGAAATAATAGCCCATGCTTTACTACCCTTTGGCCAATTAACCGAAGAGGCTCAAGAAGCGCGAAACAAGGATTTTAAAAGATATAGAGAACACTATTCTCGAAAATGTAGCCGTAAAAACTCCAATGAGGATATTTTCAATTTACTTTTATTGAGCTCAGATCCTGTAATAACAAGCAACAGGAAGATATTGATTTACTAGTATCTACACCCCCACCTGATAATGAAGATCTTGACAACGAAGAACCATTGGACTTACAGAATGATGCTAATAGTGATGACATCTACCCGTCTTCCAGCAATGATAATGATGATAGTGATGATTATGATGATGATCAGTGATGACCCATTCGCGTTACCGTTTTACGCTCCCGTGTGATCTGATTCGAGGACACTGCCACACACGCATTGCGATGGTCTTAACGTGATGTTGACGCAATGTGATTTGTGCCCAGTGCTCTGAATGTCAAAGTGAAGAAATTCAATCAAGCGCGGGTAAACGGCGGGAGTAACTATGACTCTCTTTAGGGAGTTGGAGTACGGTGGAACAACAGTCAATAAACATCTGGCTGAGAAGTTCCACCGTACTGTGGAGCCATAAAAAACCTGCGCTACTACGCGCTACTGCTCTTTGCGTGCCCAGCTGGAAGCTGAACAAAAGGTGGCTCCGGACCATCCAACTCACTCCCCCGCTCGATTCGACCGGCACTCACAGGCGAGCCCGTTGCGGCCGCCTTCGCCGCTGGCGCATCCCCGGAGGGGCACCAGGACTCGGAGGATGGCCGTCCGGTTTTGATCGGGCTCCTCCCCTGGCGATCAGTCCGCCAGCACGCCATCACGGAGGGCTGCCCCGTCGTCGTTCCCGCCGTTGGAGTGTGGCAACTCCGTGTTCAGGGCCGGGCTGTCCTCCTCGTCATCGCCGTCAGCATCGTCCGCCCCTTCCTCCTCCGCGTCTTCTCCCGGCGCTCCGACTGCTTCGCCTGCTACCGCCGCCGCGGCGCCCTCCGCCTCCCAGACCGGTGCCTTTGCTGCTGGGGCCGCACCGCATCATTCGCGGCGTGGACCCCGGCGCCTTGGGAGCGGTCCCTCCAGATGGAGAGATCCGCGCGCATTATGAGGCTGTCTTCGCGGGGGCCGCGCTTGAGGACAGGCAGATTATATCGGATTACAAGAGACCGGTACGGGGTCTGTATTCGTCTGTCCTCCTGCGGTCCGTGGAGGCAGCCATTCGCTGCCCTAAGGCGTCCAGTGCCGCTGGTCCGGACGGCATGTCGGGGGTCGACTTGAGGAGGCTGGATGTCCGGAGCGTGGCGATCCTCTACAACGCCATTCCTGACCCTCCGCACACCATCTATCCGCAAGGGTTGCCGTACCACCCTGATTCCTAAGGGTGACGGCGACCCTGCTGATGTCGGTTATTCGAACCCTTCACCGCATACTAGCGGCACGCTTGGGCGCCTTAGAGATTCACACCTCTCAGCGCGGTTTTCGAAGTCTGGGACCATGGCAAACGCCATCATTTTGCAGGCCGCCATTAAGGGCTGCCGTGCCTCCTTAAGGCCATACTGTGTCAGCGCCCTTGATTTGCGGAAAGCATTCGATACCGTTCCGCACGCATCCATCGAGAGGGCGCTGCACAGGTTTGGGGTTGAGCAGTCCGTTGTTGACTATCGGATGGACGGGCTGTCAGGGTGTGCCACTTCCATCCGCGTCGAGGGCATCCCGTTCCTGCGGGGCATAAAGCAGGGCGACCCCCTCTCTGCCATCCTGTTTAACTTAGTCCTCGACGAGTCGATGGTGTGGCTGTCCCGTATGCCGACCGGGGTCGGCATCGGCGACGTAGGGTCAATGCCATGGCATACGCGGACGACCTGCTCCTTTTGACCCCGTCAACGAGGGAAATGCAGGTCGTCCTTAGGGAGTGCCAGCGCTTCTTCGAGGCCCGGAGTATGGAACTGAATGCTAGCAAATGCTCCAACATTACCGTTAAGCTTGCTCCGGCCTTGAAGAAGCTGTATCTGGCCACCCAGGTCCCTCTATTCATCGGGGCCAAAGTTGTCCCTGTCGTCGGTGCCGACTCCGCTTTTAAATACCTTGGCCACAAAGTCGGCTTCATGGGGACGGACCCACCATCATTGGACTCGCTAGGGGACGCCATGGGTCGCCTGCAGAGAGTGCTGCTCAAGCCCTACCAGTGCCTGAGGTTGCTGCAGGAATACATACTTCCTAAGTACCTGTTCTCGCTGCAGAACCCGGGAGTGACGCGGGCCACACTAGATCGGGCGGATAAGGTCGTCCGAAAGACCGTCAAGAGTGCATTGCACTTGCCCTCGCAAACGCCCAATGCCCTGCTGTACGCGGCCAAAAAGGCTGGGGGTCTCGGCCTCTTCTGCTTGTCCGGTAGGATCCCTGATATCCTGATGAGCTGGAGAGGCTGGGTTTACATGACGACCCCCAGCTAGCTGCCGCCCTCCGGTTCGACTACGTGGTTGGAGTCAGATCACGGTTGGCGGACAGCATACGGTCATTTGGCTGTGGGCCAGCACAGAGGGCTTACCGGGGGCAGCGCCTTGGCGGCTCGTTCAGTGGTGTTGGTCTCAGCGGCCACTGTGCGAACGCGGCGGCCAGCCGGTGGATCACGGACCCCCCTCAGGGCCCTCCCGGCCCCTGCGCGGATGTGCAGAACCGGATGCCGCCGTGTGGAAACTCTTTCCCATATCCTCCAGCGGTGTCCGGTGACGCACCATCAGCGAATTAAGCGGCACCACCTGGCGGTCGACATCTTCGCTAAGGCGTGTCGCTCCAGGGGCCTAGTCGCCCACGTGGAGCCGTCGATCCGGGATAGGGAAGGGCGGCTTTATAAGCCTGACCTTGTCATCCGGGGAGACGGTCGTACCATGGTGGTGGACGTGGGCTTCCACTGGGAGTCCCCAAGACCGCTCGTTACCACTTCGATCACAAGGTGGCCACGCCATTCTTGGAGGCGGTGAAGGCCGCGTATCCGGGCGATGTGATCTCGGTCCGAGCGATTATCTTGAGGGCTCGAGGCACTTGGTGCCCGCTAAACGACAGTGTGGTGGGGAGTTTGGGGCTGCACCCGTCAGTCGCCCTCAGCCTGGTTTCGTTCGTGCTGAAGGGCGGCTGCATGATTCACCGGCATTTCGGGGCCGCCGTGTGGGACGACCGACCGCTCTGACCCCGTCAACTGTGGTCCGCTGAGCCCCGGCGGGGGCCGCGCCCCGCTATGGGGGTGGGGTGCCCTTGGCGCGCGTGCGGCCTGTCCTGTCATGCTGTGCAGCCTACCCTGAAAATAGCGGTTTTTCCGAACGTCCAACCTTGTGGTGTGTTGTGTCCCGTGTGTGGAGTTTCCGTACGTGCCGTGAACCATTTTGGGGTGTCTACCCCATCCCGCAGGGGAGTTATGGGGTGAAATAGCGCCGCCACGTGCCAGTTAACCTTAAAACCTGCCGCGTGCGTCGATCCTTCTCGAGTTTTCTAGAACAGTCGAACATATTGTAGCACGCCCGCCCTCTTGTCCGGGGAGGGCCGTTTTCACCTCTAATCGGGGTTATTCAACCCACCCTTTAGTGCCCCTAAAATCGGTACGTCCGAGTGCCAAAAGGGCCGTACGAACTACCCGAAAATCGGCGGAATCTAAAATCGAATCATTAGGAGACCAGGAGCAGCGAGGAGGTACAGCGTTTTTGGTCGAGTTTGGGACGCCATATCTCGGCTACCATTTGTAGTAGCCCCGTCGGGGAGGTACCATCCTCCAATACCCTCGTGGGAAGTTTAGATCCCGAGTTATCCCTCTCCAAAGTCGACACCGGAAGCGAAAATATCGTTTTTTCCAACCGCCCCCCTCCCTTACTATTGACCCTAGGATCCCTCTTTTCGTACCATTAAATCGACCCCCCTCAGACTACATCCTCCAACAGGACTTTCCCACCGTAGCTGTACCAACCCCCAATTATAGGGGTGTGAAGTTCACCAAAAACCACCCCCGGTTTTCGACTGGATTGGGCTCCCTAGATGCCAATTGACATCCTATCTCCGTCAGAACATCTGCCCCAATTGTTCTTCGAAATTCGGCTATAGCTACTTCAGCTATTTACTCCACCATTGCCGAGCTTCCGCACTTGGGACAACTACCGACCGCCGCAGCAACAGCGGCAGCTACGGCCATCCATCGGAAGCGCGCTCAGCGATGACCAAGTGACCCGATTTGTGTTTGTGTCCTACCGTTCGCGGTTTTTTTTAGTGCCCTGTCGGTGTTTTCTTTAACTTTTACTTAGCTCCTACATTCAGGGACTAATCCGACAGAGTATCAGTGAGTGTGAAATTCACCAGCTTTGACATGGCGACCGCAACTCATATCTGTGTTGGATGTGGAAGATCTTACCCAAGGGGTAATAGTCTCGCTCAACACAGGAGGAGATACTGCAGGGGTGACGCTGCTGCAGCGCCCAATCTATGCTGGAATTCTTGGCGGGAGTTTGCCGGCCTAGAACAACATCGCAGAAGAGCACACCCAACCGACTACCAGAACCGCCTCGAGGCCGCTGATCGCCGCCGTAGTGAGCCAATTTCTGGGCTGGAGCGCGCCTCAATATGCCTGGAGGAGCTGGCCTACGAGTTCGATGAGATCAGAAACCTCCGCAAGCTACGTTTGTATTCTGCGCACTCATCGCCTCGCTACGGCCCGCCTGAGGTCCCGGCCGGCCCCGTGCTCCATCCAGCGGGGTGCATTACCTTGCCGTAGTTTCGGGGCACGCCCTCAGTCGCCTGCCACGCCGCCTCGTCGGAGCCTCAGGGTGAGGCGGAAGACCGTGAGATTTGAATTCAACACCCCCGATCGTGGTTTGGGCCTATACAGCCCTATTCTGTCACCTGGTCCGGACTCTGTTGTTGGCCCTGACAGTTCGAATTGCCCACCAGTCCCTGGCCGTGACGGCGGCCCAGACTCCGCCCGGGTCCGCGTCGCCTGGCCATTCGCAGCCGTCTTTGGCCGATGAG